ATATGAGGGTGTAGGTGAGCCATATTGGTGCTGAAGATTAGAAGTAGTGAGAGAGAGCGGAGGCTTGAGAGAGAGAGAGAGAGAGAGAGAGAGAGAGAGAGAGAGAGAGGGGGGGGGGGGGGGGGGGAGAGGTGGGGAGTGTGTGAAGAGATTCTGAAAAACTGAAAAATGCTCCTAATCATGGTCATTAAGGGTTTTTTCTTACCTGTTGCTCCCTGTTTCTTTGTAGGCTTGTCTTTCTTTACCCAATGTGGGTTTTTTTTCTTCTGCTGCACACATTTAGATTCAAGTGAATGGAGCGCTCATTCAGTTGTAGCTTTTTTGTTGTTTCCTAATCTTGATCTTTAAGAGTTTTTTGTTGTTGTTTAAACCTGTCACTCCCTGTTCCTATGTTTTGTCCAAGTGGGGAATGTGAAGAAATTGTGGTAATGTATATCAGTCAGGGATTCAAACATACTTTAATAAGTTCTCTTTTGTTCCACACTATATATCTGTTATGGTTCATATCTGCCCCTTTTGGGTGGTTGGTGGATGTTCTGGTGTGGTTTTTTCCTTTCTTCCTGTCAAACATCTTTTGTCCAAACCTCTTCTCCTGCTTCTCTTTGTCTGTTACTCTCTAGTAATGCCTCTGATATTTGGCTTTTACATGAGCTAATTGTGTTGCAAGTGCCGTAAAATGCTTACTAGAAGTAAAAAAACAAAAGGCCTGCCTCTGCTCTCTCACACACTCATACACTCACCTTCCGTCCCCCTCTTTGATTTTCAACTTTAAAATGACCTTCATCTCTTCACCAGTGACCCCAAGTACATCAGATCGGCGGGCAAGGCTGTGTACAGTGGCTTGTTAGCTGGCGACCCCCAGGCAATCTGGTGAGTTAATTTTCTAAAAGAAGATCAGATGTTTTGTATCAATCCCTCGTAGGAACAAGTTGACAATGTCCTTCATCATCTCTTGTGATTGAAAATATACTAGTTGGTCCTACTTCCTTACTTTCCATCTATTGTTACCGTCTGTCTGTCTTACTTTTTCTGTGCACTAAATGACCATTTTTGTGTCAATGTGCTTCTCTTTACTCAAACAAGCAAACAAACTTCTTTTTTGTGTTTGTTACTCAGGTCAATAAAGGCTTTGCATTCATGATAGTAATTAAAAAAAAAAAAGTTTTTAAATTAAGATAAAATTAATCCAAATCTCAAAATCATTGAGCAAAAAACAATGTTACTCTCTTGTAACACCTCTAATCTTTGGCGCTTATAATATGACCTAATTGTGTTAAAAGTGCCGTAACGTGCACACTAAAACTAAACTTTTTTTTTTTCGTACCAGGCTCATGCAGGGGTGGCTGTTCTTGGAGGGATATTGGAAGCCGCCACTGGTCAAGGCTTTGGTCACTTCAGTGCCAATTGTGAGTGTCATTTAGGTGGCTGAAAAGTGTGTCTGTGTGTGTGCGTGTGTGTGTGTGTGTGTTCGTGTGTGTCTGTGTGTGTGTGTATGTGTGTGTGTGTGTGTGTAGTGGAACATGTACTAACAGCCACTTTCCATTTTCCCCCTTGCGTTTAAAAAAAATGTTTTTATAATGACACCGTGTAAGACGACTACTTTTCCACTTGACAATCGGTGGCCGGCCTTCTTAGACAGTTTCGACTGTAATTGTTTGTATGTGCGTGCGTAAATGCGACTGCGTGCATGCCTGCATGTGCTGGCAGGCTGAACTGGTCCTTTCTTTGATCATGTTTGTGACTTTCTAAAGTTTGATTATTTGATTACTGAATGTGTGACTTACATTGATATTCATTTTGATCTTGATATAAGTAAATAGTAATGTGTGTTTGCATGTGTTTGCACCTATGTACCACAAGCTCTCTTTTAAAAAAAATTTGTTTTTATAAATTGAAGCTCTAAACTGAGCTGTGATGTTCCATTTTCCAAACTTTAAGGCTGCAAACCAAAAGATAAATCCACCTACTTAAAAATCTAACATCCTAGTTATTGAAAAAAACTCTTCAATATGGACAGGGATAAGCATGTTAAATCCCTTAATTGAATTACCTGGAACTGTCGTGGGTTCTTTAGTAAAATTATAAACAGATGTACCTGTGAAAGGGTAAAAAATATTTGTTTAAACTATTCCGTAGGGTCGTATGATTATCCTTGACCTTGCCTCGGAGTTGAACCCGCTGTTCAGCAGATTTGAGTCCTACTATGGGCAACCGTTCATCTGGTGTATGATTCACAACTTTGGCGGAACCAACGAACTCTACGGGGCTGTAGATGCAATCAATGTGGTACGTGTTTTTCACTGCTCTTCCTATTCTTTGTGTTGTTGCTCAGGTTGTCTACATTTTTTGTAGGGACAGAGTTTTACATTTTCTGTTAATACGTATCTTCTGTAACAGCATTCAGTTTTTTGACTCTCCTGTAAAACTTTGAAAATTTAATAAACTGCACTTTTGAAAATGATGGCAGATATGGGATAGTGCAGGGAGCATGATTTTTTTTTCTGTACGTCGGGTTCTCCAAGAAAGATTTGAAAGTTCAGGTCAGACTTATAGCTATTTATCTCACTCTCTTTTCTCTGTCTGTCTCTCTCTTTTCTCAGTCTGTCTGTCTGTCTGTCTGTCTGTCTGTCTGTCTGTCTGTCTGTCTGTCTGTCTCTCTCTCTCTCTCTCTCTTTTTCTCTCTCTCTCTCTCTCCCTCCCTCCCTCCTCCCTCTTGGTCTGCTCCGCCTCCCTCCTTCTCTCTCTCGCTCTCTGATAAGTTAAAGGTAGTGTCTAATTGTTTCATTATGTCGCTCTGTCTTCCTGACTGCCATTTGCAGAAGGCAATTGATTTCAGGGGTGCCCCTCTGATAGGCCAAACTTTTTTCTTTCTCTCAGTCTTCTTGTTTGTCTTTTGTGCAAATTGATGCTTATCGTGTCCGTGGACTTCTTTTTATTCAAGACTCAAACCCAAAGTATTTTGTCTTAGTATTTATGTTTCTGAGCATGCATAAGTGTTGTTAGAATTATTCACAGTATTATTATAACAATTATTATCTGTATCTATATTTCATTAGTTTACTGCAGTTGGTCTGTGTGTATGTAATCATTTATTGCTCACCTTTGCATGTGTATCTTTGAACGTGTATGTAATGAGTGCATTTCTGTTTTGATGCTGAATCCTTTTATGTTGATGTTCTGGTAAAGCCACCCAAAATTTCTCCTGTGGATCAATAAAGTTGATCTTATCTGATCTTACCTTACCTTACCTTACCTTACCTTACCTTACCTTACCTTACCTTACTTTACCTTACCTTGCCTTGCCTTGCCTTGCCTTGCCTTGCCTTGCCTTGCCTTACCTTACCTTACCTTATCTTGTCTTACCTTATCTTTTCTTATATTACCATGTCTTATTATTTCTACATTCTCAGGGTCCGTTCAATGGACGTAAGTTCCCAAACTCCAGCATGATTGGCATTGGCCTCACCCCCGAAGGCATCAATCAGAACGAAGTCATGTACGAGTTTATGATGGAGAACGCCTGGAGGACGGAGCCCAGGGATGTTGACCAGTGGTCAGTAGATTCTGCTTGTGTCGTGTTCTGTGTGTGCTTCTGTGTGTGCCCCTGTGTGTGCTTCTGTGTGTGCCCCTGTGTGTGCT